CCCAAGTGCTGGGATTACAGGCGTGCACCACCACACCCAGTCTCAATCGCAGGCTCAGCGTGCCCAGGGGGCTGGGCCAGCACTGCATGCCAGGGATCGAACCGTGATCCCAGTGCCTACCCAAGCAGCCGCCTTAGTCCACTGAGCTGTCTGGCCGGCCCTACGTTTACTTTTTGGACAGGGTCTCCCTATGGAATGCAGGCGGGGCTCACATCACGTGATCCTCCTGCGGCTGCTTCCTGCGTGCTGGGGTAGCCGCGCACCTCCGCACTCTGGGTTCCGCATTTCTGCGGCTGAACACCACTTACCTCTAAAGTCTCAGACCAAAACCTGCCTCATTCGCCGATAACGCTAGACACCACATCTGGCTCCACCACTTCACTCGAGACACGTTCTGGTCCTTTCACTTCTGATCCCAGACCCAGTGTCCTCCTCATCCACGACTGCTCGCCCTTCGGCCGCCTGACAAGGCACGCAACGTTCTGTCCGCTCAGTGCTAACACGACACTCCCCCACCCCCTCACCGCCGCCTGCTTTACCCTGCGACTAGGCATAAGGCTGTGCGTGGTTCCCTCTGATGCCAGACCCCGCATCCTCCCCCACCCCCAGCTAATGTGCAGCGTTCCGCTCCCCTCACTAGGCACGCTTGACGCTTCTTCGGCTTTACTTTCCTCAGTCGCTTCCCACCGTGCTCATCTGAACCACATTCTGCTCTGCTCAAAGAGCGCCACACACAACATTCTGCTCCTCTTGGGTGCCAGACAGCGCAGCTCCCTCAGGCCTCCCGCTGAGCGCAGCCTGCGCACCTCACATTCACTCTCAGAAAATGTGAATGCAAATAGGATGACACCCTGCTACCCTTCCCCTGGTTTCACCATTTGCTATCATTTTACATTTATCTCCTCCCTCTCTCCCTGGATAGATTATAGATAGGTAGATAGATGATAGGTAGATAGACAGACAGACAGAATGACAGAATGACAGATGATAGATAAGTAGGTCCTAGTTGGGCAGGTAGATGCAATTTTGGGTGAATCCTATATGGACATCATGACAATTCATGTCAAGATAAGGAAAAAGGATCACAATGATATTTCACCTCTAAATAATTACCATGAATTCAATAACAATTAACTCAGAAATAATTGAACTGAACCTAATTCAGTAATTCAGTACAATACAGACCTTCATTTAAATTTCCCCAAGTTGTTAAAATATACATGTATAACTCGAGGATGCCCTTGGCGCTGCACACGGTTGGTCTGTTTTGACACTTTCAATCCGGGACAGTTTTTTGTACACTGTTCTTTTGTTTTCCATGATGTTGACCACCCTGTTAACTTTTAATATGAAACAGACGCCTGAGCCGGGAGTAGGGGTGCACACCTGTAATCCCAGTACTCAGAAGGCTGAAGCAGGAGGATCTTCATGGTGTGAGGCCGGTGCGGGCTGCATAGTGAGATCAAGGCCAGCCTGGGCCACACTGTGAGACCCTATCTCAAAACAAAAAGAAATAAGAAAAAATCAAAAAAGAGACACTGACATTCTGTCTCACATGTCATCAGTAGCAAACACCACACTCTCCTCTCTCGACACGTGCAGTGAAACTCAGCAACACACTCTGTCATCAGCCCTAGACCTCAGATTCTACTACCTTCATTACACAAATGCATGCGATGGGTCTCTGGTTACCATGAACACCTGGCGACACACTCTCCTCTGTTCATTCTTCTCAACAAACACACCATTCTACGGTCTCGGTCTCGTGTGTGCTGGGCTCTCTCTGGTCTGTTCATGGTTAACACTAGACTCAGCATCCAGCATCATCTGTTATTAGCACTCCACATTCTACTCCATTCACTTTTTTATTTCTTCATTCTTTTCAAAGAATAAAATTCAGAGGCCTGGGACAAGGATGTAGCTCAGGGGCACAGAACACGCCTGGGAAGCTCAAGGTTCTGAGTTTGATTCCCCATACAAAAAAAAAAATCTGGAGACTTCGTTATGTTTTAAAAATTGGTATAACCCTGTCTATACACAGAATCCAATTCCAGAACATTTTCTTCACCCCAGAAGGACAGCTCACATTTACAGGAGCCACTTCCTCCCTCCTCCCTCAGCCAGTGGATTTGCCTGTTCTGCGCATGTGCAATGTGCAGCGTGTAGCAGTCCACAGCGGCCTTCCAGGAGGCACCACAACGTTTCAATGGGTATCTATGCTGTAAAATGCACCCGTATTTCATCGCATTTTTATACCAGAATAATATCCAATTGAAGATAGGACATTTGTTTATCCACTCAGCAGTTGGAAGACATTTAGATAACTTCCACTTTGAGGCTATCCTAAATAATGCTGCCAAGAGACCTGGAAGATAGCCCAGTAGAATAAGCGCTTGCCTGGCAGGCACAAGGTCCTGAGTTCAATCCCTGGTACTGCAAAATAATAATAATAATAATAATAATGCCAAATTAATCATTTTTTTGTTGCTGGGGCAAAATACCACACATCCGCAACTAAAAGAAGACAGTCCCTCTGTAACTACTACGAAAACAACAATATGCAATGTATTAATTATTGTAACTGTCCTACTGACCTGTTTTGAAACTGTTTTGTTGCTATTTTATCTTTTTTCGTATTAAAATGAATAAAAAAATTTTTTTAAAGAAAAAGAAGAAGACAGTAATCCCAGCATTCAGGAGACTGAAGCAAGGGGATCATTGTGCATTTGAGACCAGCCTGGGCTACAAAGTAAGCTCAAGGCCAGCCTAAACTGCATAGTAAGAGTCTGTCTCAAAAAGACAAAAATTTAAAAGAAAAAAAAAAAGGGGGGGGGATGAGGGGCTGTGTGGGCTCCTGATCTTAGAGGACTCAGTCTGCTGGCTCCATGGCAGAAATGGCAGTGGTTAGGGGCTGGATTAAAGCTCCTGCTTGGGGTTCAATACCCGGGTCTGCCGTGTCAGCCCTGCCCCCAGGACGCGCTGAAATGGCAATTGAGACTGGGTGTGATGGCACACGCCTGTAATCCCAGCTCTTGGGAGGCTGTAAACAGGCAGAGCACTATGAGCTCCATCTAGTAGTGAGACCCTGAACACCCTGTAGACCCTTCCCTAAAAAATAAAAAATAAAAAATAAATTCCCCACCTTTGAACTCACTAAGACTTTGGGGGTACTTTTTTTTTTTTTTTTTTTTTGTGGAACCAGGGATTGAACTCAGGCCCTTGCACTTGCCAGGGAAGTGCTTTTTCCACTGAGCCATCTCCCCAGCCCCCTACGGGGGACATTTTAGATCATTATTTTGCCTCAGCACTCAAAAGGCTCACGTCTATCTCATTATATAAAACACATTTAAGTTGTCTTAGAACTGTCTTAACAGTTTCAGCACTGCTGAGCAGTTTAAGTCCAACACCCCTTGTAAAACTCAAAAAGAAAGTTAAAACCAGGGACCGGGGAGATAGCTCAGTAGAATAAGCACTTGTTTGGCAAGTGCAAGGACCTGAGTTCAATCCCTGGTTCCACCAAAAAAGAAAGAAAGAAAATTAAAATCAGATATGATGGGGTGTGCCTGTGATCCCAGCATGCTGAGATGACACATGGGAAGAAAGGCCGTGAGTAAAGAGACTGGGACAGAGACATGTGTTCAATATACAGGGGCACAGAGTAATTGGTTTCGTAAATGTTTCTATTGTAGGAGCCAGTGAGATAGTTCAATGGACTAAAGTATCTGCTTAGGCAAGCTTAGGCAAGCACAAGGACCGCAGTTCAATCCCCAGCACCACATGCCACA